CCCCCCCCCCCAGGGCACCTCCACCACCCCTCCCGACAGTCTCTGACAGCCCGCTGCCGCTCCCCAAGCCTCCTCCCATACCCCCCCCACCATCCCCCCGACAGTCTATGACAGTCCGCTGCCCTCCCCCGCTCCCCTCCCGCCCGGGCAACCCCCTCTCCCCGACATTTCCTGACAGTCCGCGTCCCCCTCCCCCACGCCCCTGCCCAAACCCCGCCCCCCCGACTGTCCCTGACAGCCCGCTGCCCTCTCTCCCACCCCCCCAACTGTGCCTCCCCAGACCACCATCCTCTCCCGACAATCCCTGGCAGTCCGCCTGTTCTCCCCCACTCATCCCCCCCCAGAGGGGAATTGGCGTTGTATTTCAGGAACAAACGAGCTGGTAGTTTAGAGCCTGGATGGGCTTAGCAATCACGAAGCACCTGAATATAACCAGGACACATACCGAAGACAATCCACCGAAAATGATCAAGATGAATTAGCTCTGAACATCAAGCAAGTACAACGAGTTGCAGGTAACGTGGAAAGAGACATCGGTAAATTTGACAAAACCCTTGGGAGAAACCCTTTGGGATAACCAAGTCGGTGTGAGGCATGCGAAATCCAGCCGCACGCAGAAATAACTTGCGGTAGTTGGGTCCACCAAGCTAGAGGAGCACGGAAAATGTTATCCTCCTCCTCCTCCTCCTCCTCCTCCTCCTCCTCCTCCTCCTCCTACTCCTACTCCGCCCCCCGACAATCCCTGAAAGTTCGCTGACCCCGAGGAGCTCGGCTCCGAGGACGAGGAGCTTTTCGATGAGCTTTTCGGCGAGGAGGAGGAGGAAGAGGAGGACGACGAGCTGGAGGGCACCGCGGAGCCTGGCACCGAGGACCCGGAGAAAGAGACGGGTGCCCCGGAGCAGCAGACGCTCGAGGCGGTGGAGATGGATTCGACCGCTGGCGCTTCCCGCCGCCTGCCTGGGGTCTTTTCTAGGAGGACCTCCCGAAGAGATGGCTCGACAGACCCCTGAAGAGACCACCCCCCGTCCCGGCCTCCAGGGGAGGGGAAGGGCGCCCGGGCGCCTGCGCGCCGAAGCCGCACGCGCTCAGCTAGGCGGCGTCCAGGTCGATGATGGGCCTTTTTTCCCGGAAAGCGTCAGGGCCAGCCCTCATATGCTCATATCTTTCCGTCAGCCCCGTGCCCCCCCCTCGCTGCTGGGCATCGCACCCTCAGGGTCAGCCCCCGTCCTCGCTTTTTGCTTTGCCCGGCATTGTACCCTCAGGGTCAGCCGGCCCCCCCCCCCTTCGCCTCTCCGCCCCTTCCGCTGGGCATTGCACCCTCAGGGTCAGCCCCCCGCCCTCGCTCTTCCCCTTTGCCATGCGTGTTGCCACGTGCATGCTGTCCGGGGTCCGCGAACGGAGGCTCCCACGGGCGGGCCCCGCGACCGTGAAAACAAAAACGACCCGGGGAATCCTCGAGTCCTTCGCTTCCCCTCCCCAACCCTCTCCCTCCGGCCGCGGCCCTCGAGTTGCCCGCGGGCGCCGGCGCCCCGCAGCTGGCGCTCTGCACAGCCGGTCTTCGGGGTTTATAGGGGCGCCCCGCCTTCCTCTCCCCCGAGGCGCTCGGTGTCACAGGGGTGCTACGACCCAGCACGACCACGCCCCAGCACGACCACACCCCAGCACGACCCCACCCCAGCACGACCACACCCCAGCACGACCACACCCCCAGCACGACAAGCACGACCACACCCCAACACTACCCCACCCCAGCACGACCCCACCCCAGCACGACCACACCCCAGCTCGACCACACCCCAGCACGACCCCAACCCAGCACGGCCCCACCCCAGCAAGACCACACCCCAGCGCGAGCACACCCCAGCACGACCTCACCACAGCACGACCACACCCCAGCACGATCACGCCCCAGCACGACCACGCCCCAGCACGACCACTCCCCAGCACGACCACCTCCCAGCACGACCACGATGACGACGACGACGACGACGACGACGACGACGACGACGACGACGACGACGACGACGACGACGACGACGACGACGACTACGAGGGGGATCCGCCCAGGGGGCGGCGACAGGCAACCACTCAACCGATGCAGCCACGGACCCCCTGTGTGTTTGATGTGTGGCGCCCGTGCCGTTGCGTGCGTTACGCGTCTCCTCGTGGTTGTCCTGGTTGAGTGGTTGCCTGTCGTTGCTCGCGGTGCTAAATCACAGGGTGCGGACCACCCCAGCACGACCTCACCACAGCGCGACCACACCCCAGCACGACCACGCCCCAGCACGACCACGCCCCAGCACGACCACGCCCCAGCACGACCACCCCCCAGCACGACCACCCCCCCAGCACGACCACACCCCAGCAAGACCACACCCCAGCACGACCACACCCAGTCGCACCCCCGTGGAATGTTTCGTGGGGTGTCTCGTGGAATGTTTCGTGGGGTGTCTCGTGGAATGTTTCGTGGGGTGTCTCGTGGAATGTTTCGCGGGGTGTCTCGTGGAACGTTTCGCGAGGTGTCTCGTGGAATGTTTCGCGAGGTGTCTCGTGGGATGTTTCGCGGGGTGTCTCGTGGGATGTTTTGTGAGGTGTCGCCCAGTTGGGTATCGTGAAAACGTGACCATGCTGCGCACGTCTATATCCCTTTCCGGGTTCGTGGATCCATCATGTTTTTCCTCACTAAAAGGCACACGCAGCAACATCCCCATCACAAAATCCGCTTCCCCTCGAAGGGGCCATCACCGCCCTCAACGAAGCGCCGCTGGAAATCGCTCGGACACATCATGACTGTAGAGAGCGAGCGTGGCCGGCCGGGTAAACGCCACCACAGTCAGGGAGAGGGGGGATGACAAGGAGGACGATGAGGAGCCTGGGGAGGAGGAGGAGGACGAGGAGGAGGAGGAGGAGGAGGAGGAGGAGGAGGAGGATAAGAAGGAGGAAATCCCATGCCCTAGCCCTCTCCCCGCTCCTTGAGAAGAGACGCGCTACCACCGCCTATAGATGCCCCACGCAGCGGGCGATCGGGTCGCCCGTATTTGATCAAGAAACACAACGCGATCACCGTGAAGATTGACACATCGACTACAGCGTCTTCTGTAGGCTTCCACAAGCCTGAAACGTACTTGCATACACTGGTCGAGGCCCTAATGGATCGATTGTCGTCTCTAGAAATGCAGGGCCTGCTCGCGTTCTTCCACAAGCTCGGGGGTCTCAAGGTGGCGTCTGTCTGCAGTGGCACTGACTCACCGCTGCTCGTGTTGAACACGATTGCAGAGGTATGTCGCAAGCGCCTGGGGGATGTCTTCGAAGAGGCTGTCACGAATAAGGTCGTCGGCGATATGACTTGCGATGACTTGGAGACTGTGGTCGACGTCCAACACATGTTCAGCTGTGAGCTCGACTCGTCCAAGGCAACATTTCTCACGGACCACTTCGAGGGCGTCTTTCCATTCCCTTCTTATGGTCCTCCTCCTCCTCCGCCTCCTCCTGCTCCTCCCCCTCCTCTTTATCTCCTGCCCCTCCCCCTCCTCGTCCTCCTCCTGCTCCTCCTCCTCCTCCTCCTGCTCCCCCTTCTTCTGCAGAACCAGAAATCCGTGCTACCAACTCCTCTGATCGCTGGGTCCAGGTGAGGGTCCCGGGGCGCATGGGCCTTTGGAATCGTGCTTCGGTTTTGGGTTGGCAATGTGTCAAATTGTTTGGGATCTTCAGGGTTGCCCCAGGACGTGTTCCCGAACATGAAGGTGTTGTACTCTGACGTGCGCGAGCTGTCCAAGAAGAGTGCTCTTCCTAACTTGGCTGACCCCCAGCAGACCGAGATACCAGTGCCAAACTTTAATATTCTCGTGGGCGGGTTTGTCTGCAAAGACGTTTCGAACATGAATTGCCATCGAGAGGACAACAGAACGACAGTCCGTGATAAGTCTAAAAAGACTGGTGGTACCTTTGGTGGCATCATCGACCTACTCAAGAAGCACATCGAGGATCCTTCCATGATGAATCCAGAAGTCGTCTTTCTTGAAAATGTCAAAGGACTTGACGCTCCACCAAAGAAGAAAGAGGCTGATGGGTCAACAACATCACTGCCTTACTACGAGTCCAACCTGTCCTATTGCATGGACAAGATGTGGGACGCAGGCTACTTCATGACTCCCCTCTTGCTAGACCCGAGGTGCTTTGCTGGGCCGCAGTCGCGGCAACGCTACTGGCTACCTGCTGTTCGCAGGGCCCTCATGGAAGACACCGGCCTCGACCAAGCCGAGCTTTACTCTTGGATCGGTCAGCTTACGACTAGGATGGCTTGTCATGGCGAGACGCCCTTGGATGGGTACCTACTGGACTCGGCCGACGCGGACCTCAGAGAGTATTTGAAGAACGTCATGGGCCAGGAAGTCCCCTGGAAGAAACCAGACCCCGTGTCGTCCAAGAAGACCGATGAGACCTCGGCCAAGGCCAAGGCCGCTCCCAAATGGGTGGCCGCTCATGCTGGCGCCGCTACCAAGAACGCGGCCATGCTGACTCAGACTCGCATCAGCAAGGATACCCTGGAGGACATCGCCAAGAACTACCCTGGCGTCAGATCCCTAGCCAAGCGCCAGTTCGACATGCTGGTATTAGCCGGAATGTCGCCTCCGTGCAAGCAGCGCCGCTTCCTCGACCTGTCCCAGAACCTCGCCAGGACGCGCCAGTCCGCTGCTGCGGAGTCGAAGTACATCCCTTGTGTCACGCCGCGGATGGAGATGTGGATCACTGATCTGGCGAGGTGCGTCCACGGGATCGAGTCTATGGGGTTCCAGGGGATCCACTTCGGGAAAGCGCATCACGTGGCCAAGAACTACTCGAGCTCGTTCTTGTTGGACCTTTCGGGCAACGCTTTCCACACTGGGTGCATGGCCGCATGCACCATGGCGACTTTCACCGCAGTGGGCGTCGCGCTGCTCCGCAAGAAGGGCATGACCTTCAGCGCGGGCATTTCCCCGTCCCTGGCCGAGCCGCTTGAGAACGAGTCCGACGTGGAGTTGGACGACATCTGGTGAGGTCGGGTCATCAGCCGCGATCTGGCATGCCCTCTCTAGGGCGCCAGGTCGCGTGAGGCCGCAGGCCCCAGTCGGTTGGGATGGGGAGGTTGGAAGGTGATTTGATGTGGAACGAGGTTGGGGAACGATCGCTCAGCCCCAGAGGCAATCGCCTGTAAGAGGCGCTCTGCTTCAAGTTGGGCTCAGCGGCAGTAGGCTGGTCCGGGTCGATCGGTTGAAACGATATTCCAGGGGTTGAGGTGGGGCAAAGGTCGACTCGGACTCATTTTTTTTACCTGCTCTGGCGATGGTGTGCGCGAGCGGTCATAGGGTAGATGAAAACGTACATCCCTCACCTCCACGTGCGGGAGGTCACTCTTTGGCTCCTCTTGGGGCTGCCACCCCCTGGGCCCAGGGTCCGACTGTTGCCGGATGAATTTGAAATTCTGGCTCCCTGTCGCGAAAGCTTAGCCAAGGCTACCTTCCTCATTCCGCTCCTTCCTCTTTTCTTCCTCTGTCTCCTCTTCTCGTCCTCCTCTAACCCCTTTCCCCATTCACATCCTCCTCCTCACTCCTCTTCCTCCTCACTCCTCTTCCTACCCGCCTTCCTCAACTGCTTCTCTTCTCCTAGGAGCAGAGCCGCTTGCGATGCCCCAGGAGTTGAGGAGTTGCAGGACTTGGGAAGTGGATGTGAACCACTACGTGCTTCCATCAGCCAATAGTTAAATAGAGGGCAGGCTCAGGAATGCGATCAGCCCCAACATAGACATTGCATAGTCTTCTAGCGCCAGCCTCGGGCCGAGTTGCGAGCATATGGTTGCAGAGATTCGGATGCGAATCCAAACCCGAGCCACGATACTTCGAAGCGAATCCAGCCGCGTCGACGGGGTTCACGGCCGCAGTCGGCGTGCAATTTTTGAGGCATTCCTGAACCTTCCCTGCACTGTTTTTGAAGAGACACTGTCTGTACTTACCTCTCAGAATGACTGTAAACCTGAACCGCCCTTACTCGAACTTGGTGGCGTGGCAACTTTGGAAGCGTCTAAGGCCTTGGGATCGCCCAGCCTTTCGGGCCGCAGACCTTGAAGGTCCCCTGGGCCCGCTGAAACGCTAGCGTGTCCTTAAGAAACTGTTTTTTTTCCGCATGCTGGCCCGTTGGGCTGGCGAGTTGCGACGTTCATCCTCCGTCTGATTGCATTGTGGCTCAGCTCCCGCCCCGCGCTCTCAACATCTTACGAGCGGAATCGGACGGAATCACTCAATTGAGCCAAACCACAGCCTTGTTTGGCATCAGTGCCACAATGCCAACTTCAACGAGAAGGGCCGGGTCTCAGGTTGGGAGCCGTACAGATGGTGGAGGGGACCCGCTCGGGCGACATCTTGAGAAAATGATGGACGATGACGCCAAGCATGGAGATGCCATGGTGGCGCATGGCAGTACCTCTGAGACTATCACGATGGATTCGATCAAACAACGCCTTGAACTTATCATCGCGGAGAGGGAAGCATTGCCTACTCCCACGCCAAGTGCACAATTCCCTTTGCCCCCCGACTCTCGCTGTGTCTTCTGCGACAGGTCTTTTCGGGGCCCGAACCCGATTCAATGCCGACCATGTCCGTGCCCCAATGTGTTGAAACGCAATGATATCTTACTCCCCCGCCCCATCCTTCCTTCCTTCCTTACTTCCTTCCTTACTTCCTTCCTTCCTTCCTTCTTTCCTTACTTCCTTCCTTCCTTCCCTCCCACCTCCAAGGGAGAGATGAACGAGTTTTTTGTTATTCGATAGAAAGCGATTGGATCCAGTTCGGCACTTGGGGGGCCCAGGGGGTCCAAGATCGTTCAGGAGTGTGGCCCCTCGGAGCCTTTCCTGGGATTGGGAATGGTCGCCTTGACTATTGATCAGGGGAACCCTCCTACCCCCGACCCGACCCCCAATCTCGAAACGCCCAAGGTACCTGGGGGGGGCCCAAGGGCGCCCCAGATTGTTCAGGATCGTGGTCCCTCGGAGCCTTTCCTGGGATCGGATGGCCACTTTGAAAGGGCACCCTCGCCCTGACGCCCAAGGTACCTTGAACCGTCGCGAACTGCCTCGCTGGAGTGCCGCTCGTGCAGGAACGGCCAGGCGTGGGGCTATCCTGGGGTGCCCAAAGATGAGATCAAGAAAAAGTGCCAGTCGAAGGGCGAGTTCTTCCAGGAATACTGTCTGGTCATCTTCCTGTGGGAGGACAAGGCCGCCAATCCGAGAAACTGCGTGGTCAAGTTGCGCTCCAACATCCCCGATATATTGAAAACCACGGTCTCATCTGTCGAGGCCGACTTCATGGAATCCGAAGTGATGCTGGGGGTGTTTTGGCCTGTGCACGTGTACAAGCAACACGAAGGCGAAGACCCCCCGAAGAAAGATATCATCCAGATGCCCGTCAACCGCGTGATGACGAAGGGCGTCTTGCGAGAACCTTCTTTCGGCAACCCCATCGGCACTCAGGTAATGAAGTCAAAAGCACAGAACGGTGTTGAGAGGAAACGCTCCATTGATAGTGACACGGCGGTGCGCGGCCGGGCCCAGGTCAACGAGATGTTTCAGATGCTGCGGGGGACAATGAAATTTTCAATCAAACACTTGCACCGCGAAGCCACTGGTGCCAATGCCGAAATCAAAATGAAGCCCTTGCCGTTGCCAGCAAACAAGACCGATGAGGATGACCCGTTCGCTGACCTGGCGTTCATTTTTGAAGATGATATCATCCCAGCGTGCAAATCACAACGTACTTCCGCTGGCCCCCGCAAAGAAGGAGGCGGGGGCTCCTCTTCAGGGGGCGGCGGCGGGGGCGGCGGCGGGGGCGGCGGCGTGGGCAGCAAAAAGGCCAGGCCGGGGGCTAAGTCGCAGCATGAGATGAATTTGAGCGAACAATGCCTCCTGAAGGTCAAGCAAGTCTTGAGTGTGTTGTCAACTGCTGTCGACGCAGACGCATTCGCAAATGCCTTCAGGAACTTGGATAAGAGGTTCGCAGCGGCCTCTGCGCAGCTGAAGAAGCGGACTGAGGACAGGGTCCTCCTCGGCCCCCTCACCTCCAATGTCCTCCTACTCCTCCTCCTCCTCCTCCTCCTCCTCCTCCTCCTCCTCCTCCTCCTCATCGTCATCCTCCTCGGGACAGGAGAAGGTATTGGAACATTACTGGGGAGCGTCGAAGTACTTCAGTCACATTGAGCAAACCGAGAAGAACGGTATGGAGTTGTTGAATACAATGCGCGATCATGAGACTAAGCTTACCAGCTGTATCCCTTTCGTGAAGGCCATTGTTGATAAAGACATTGAACCAGATAAGATGATCCAGTATTGCTTAGACGTAGTCGCAAATAACGTAACCCTCCACCCATCCATCCTGGTCAAAATGTGGCTTCACATCGCCAGCCACCACTTCGGCAAAAAGCAGTACGAGCAGGCTCTCAACATGTTCACACTCACAGGGTGCACTTTGCCAGAGCAGGCGAAGTCTCAGCTCGGGGAAGCACACGAAAAGGAATTCCAAAACTCGCTCATGAACGAATGCTTGCTGTCATTTGTGCGCACGAACGATGACAATCTGGACGACCTGACTGATTTCGCTAGGCTGCTAAAGCCGATGATTGACCGCATCAAAGACACTGATCTCAAGACTGATGTCGATGAGCTCGTCTGCGTCATCTTGATTGTTGATGCCAGAGACCAGACAGATCTGGATGCGGCGAGGGTGATCAGGGACAAACTTGCTGGCGACGCATATGCGTCGAGGTTCTCACGTTTGCTGAAGTGCTTTCCGAAAGGCGGGAAGATCCTTTTCAGGGTGGACACAGAACTTGCTGGTGTTAACCAGTCTGCTGCGCTCGACCAGCAGTTGCAGCGCCTGCAAGCGAGCGCCACCTGGGAGGACAACGAGCCCATCCTCAACTGCGATGAGTCCTTCACACGCGTCGCTTTCAACGGGGACACCTTGAAGAATCTCGAGGCGGTGTTTCGAGGTCTTGCTGGGCTCCGAGCGGACATGCCCGCCCGGTGGGGCGAGACTAACAGCTCAGCTTTGGCAGAACTGGATGACAAAGTATCGAACATGGCAAAGCGATTGTCTGAGGCTGCGAAGTCGAAGTTCGTTGCGATGATGCCCAAACTTTACCCACCAACCGAGATGACCAATGGCGCTCTCAACAATCCTCCTGCTTACCCACAGCCCGAAGTCTTGCACGCCTGGCGCACTGACCACGTCAACCAGTGGATGTCTGCCGTCTTCTCTGAAGGTTCTCAGATCGGTTTGCATAGTTTCGTCGACAAGACAGCGCTTGCCGAGCACGACGAGTGGATGCAGATTAAGTCCAAGGCGGTGTTGAAGGTCGTGAGTGGGGTCGGCGCTCTCCTGACGGAGTCGACGACCATCTTCGACCAGAGCGTTGTTGATTTTGCGGAGGTGTTGCGTACAGGCGGGCGTGCTTCAATAAATCGAGCCCCTGCTTGAGCCACTTGTCACCAAGGATGAGGGGAGAGGAGGAGGAGAAGGAAGAGGAGGAGGGGGAGGAGGAGGAGGAGCCGGAGGATGACGACGAAGCCGACGACGAACCGAAGCAACAACAGCAGACGCAGCAGCAACAGCTACAGCAGCGACGCTGCTGCCACCCCCCCTTCCTTCCCTTTACTAGCCCCCTCTCCCGCGCGCGGGGTGTGTGCGGCTGCCCCCGCAGGCGCCTTGGCGACCGGCGCGGCGGCCGGCAACCAGGCCCCGGGCCACATGCGCTGGCCTCCCAGGGGAGGCGGCGGAGGAAAGATGATATATAGGAAGGGGGGGAGATGGGCGAAAGAAGGAATGGGATAACAAGGAGGAGGAGGAAAATGAACAGGAGGAGGAGGAGGAGCAGGAGAAAGGGAACCAGAGGAGGAGGATGGCATCCAACAAATTCCATGTCCAAGTAAGGCGTTCGCAAAGGTGGCTTGGCAGATCCCCCCCCGGAAGCTGGCGGAAACTGACGGTGGGCTGGCGGAAGTCATGAGCCT